TTTTCGGTGCACTGGGCCCCTCCATGGGTGGAATAAAAGCCGGCCTTCTCCGCAAGGTCTCTTGAATTTTTGTGTTAGGCGTTGCCTCATCTATACCCCAGGCTGAGACGCCTCCTCCAGTTCCCACTTCCAAGCTAGAAAATATGGGTTGGGTTCATCGTACCAATCTCAAGGTGGCGCGGTCGCCAGTTGGGCGATGGTTCCGTCTAGAGAATTCCGGCCATGTAAGTCATGATGTTGAGTGCTTTCGGAGATGAAAACGATCTCTAACAAACATATAGCCCCAAGAACGAAAGGGAAGCTTCTTCTTTACCGAAATTCGGGCAGGATTGGCGACCTTCTTCGCGATGGCGTACATCATTAGCGTCAATTCCACCATCACCTCCGATTCGGGCGGCACATGCGTTTGTCCACCGGAGAGCTGGGCCGACAAGTGTAATTCAAACACCGAGTATCTGCTATGCGTGCAGGAAGTTAAACGGGATCTGGTCACGGCCACCGCAGCCATTGCGGCGCTGGGAACGTTCTTCATGGGTTTGCTGGCGAATCTGCCGGTAGCGTTGGCACCTGGAATGGGCCTGAACGCATACTTCGCCTATACAGTGGTTGGACATCACGGATTTGGAATGATCCCATATCGCGTCGCGGTGACAGCGGTGTTTGTGGAAGGATTTGTCTTTTTGGCCCTGACCCTCATGGGAATCCGGCAGTGGTTGGCCCGAGCATTACCGGCATCGATTAAACTGGCGACGGGTACCGGCATTGGCTTGTATTTGACCCTCATTGGATTGAGCTACAGCGCCGGAATTGGCCTGGTCACCGGCTCGACGGACACTCCGATGGAACTTGCCGGATGTCATTCTTCCATGCGTGATCCCACCACGGGCATGTGTCCTGCGAGCGACAAGATGCGCAACCCCACCATGTGGGTTGGTATCTTCTGCGGCGGTATCCTGACGGCAATGCTGATGCTGTACCGCGTCAAGGGTGCAGTCATCATCGGTATTCTGTTGGTTTCGATCATCTCCTGGCCCCGTCCGACACCCGTGACGTATTTCCCGCACACAGAATTGGGCGACAGCAATTTCGATTTCTTCAAACAAGTGGTAACGTTCCATCCGATTAAGCATACACTCGTGGCGCAGGAGTGGGACCTCTCAGGACATGGCACGCAGTTTGGATTGGCGTTCATTACCTTCTTGGTGAGTTGATTCCCTTATCACATGTCGCGCTGGCGAGACTAACTAGATGGGATCAATAGTATGTTGATATTCTTGACACTACGGGTACTCTCTACTCTATGGCGCGCTTCGCTGGTGCGATCGATGAGCGTACTCAGGACTTCGAGGGCAGTGCTTTCGCCTATGTATGTATAACCGGATCGATCTCTGATACTATTGGCGCTAACTGATTTTTGCAGATGGTGGACGCAATCTGTGTCTCGATCGGCTCGCTTTTTGGCACCCCTCCCGTGACAGCCTTCGTCGAGAGTGGTGCTGGTATCTCGGAGGGGGGTAAAACCGGTATGACCTCGTGTGTGACCGGCCTCTGCTTCTTCATCGCTGTTTTCTTTGCCCCGATTTTCGCCTCGATTCCTCCCTGGGCGACCGGGTGCACCCTCGTCATTGTCGGTGCCCTCATGTGCAAGGCTGCCGCCGAAATTAACTGGAAGTACTACGGTGATTCCATTCCGGCCTTCCTCACTATCGCCATCATGCCTTTCACTTACAGCATCGCTTACGGCTTGATTGCTGGTATCCTGAGCTACATCTGCATCAATATGCTGGTGTGGATCGTTGAAAAGGCGAGCTTTGGACGCTTGTGCCGCCGAATAAGGATGAGAAAGATGCCTGGACCTATAAGCTCCCTGGTGGTTTCTTCCCTCCTTGGGTCAAGAGAGCTGCGAGAGGGAAAAAGAAGTTCTGGCAGCCGGATGAGGAAAATGAGGGTGTCGTGCCGGACGGGTCGGTGTCCAGCAATGACCGCGGGGAGAAGTCCGGGTTTAAGAGCAAGAGTGGTATTGTTTGATCGGTAGACTCATAGAGCATCGGTTATCATGTATAGTAGAACATATATATATATCTCTAGTCGGGCGTGGAGTACTGCCACTCCGAGCAAGCATCCGAATTAATTTCATCATGGTTCATGCGTCATGACTACTCCTTCCAATATAGTGTTAATTCATTTTACAACAATCGCTTTATGTCTTAATCCAAGTTTGTCTCATACTTAGGGCTTTCGGCATCCCGCCGTAGTTGTTGGGAAGAACCAAAAGAGTCGCTGATCGGATCAGATCGAGGTAAAGAATTTGATTGGCGGGAACTATCTTCTAGAATGGGCTGTCAGACTATTGTAAAAAATGTTCGTACGAACGCGTCCCAATTTACCCCAATCGGGTATAGCTGCATGTCAGAGCCACTCGATGCGGGCGTAACTTACGGTAATCCTAGAACACAACCTCTCTGCGGGGAAGTGGCGTGCATTTCCGCCCACCAATTACGCCGCGTGCGAATCAGGCGGACGTTCCTGGTATCAGCTCCTTGCTCTGTGATTTCATCCCTTCATTGCCTTCTTTTCCCGCTTCCGATCCCTTTTCAGCCCTCAAGGCCATTTTTCTCCGCCTCATCATGGATTGATGTCTGCAGCACATCATGACAGACTCCAAACGACGGCTAGCGCCCGCGCCGCCTGGTACCCCGGGTGGCAATGATGCTCACCCCCGAAGGAAAAACGTCGGTACCGCGTGTTCGGCCTGCAAGGCTCGCAAGCTCAAGGTATTATTTCGTTCCCTGTAATAATAGATCTCGGTCCTGACACGCGTAGTGCACTGGGACCGCGCCTTGTGCGAACTGCGTCAAGAGTCGCCTCGAATGTACCCTGGATCAGACTCTCGACAAGCGTCGCCGCGGAGCCTTAAAACGCAAGATCGACCAACTGGAGGAGAAAGAGGATCTTCTTTTCCGCCTGGTCAACGTCTTACGAGAAAGTGGCAACCGGAGCACCATTCCCTTGCTGAATTTGATCCGAAGCAATGCCTCGCTGCCGGAGATCCAACACTATCTCAACCATCAGGTGCCCGAAGTGGAACTCGCCCTGATGCCCGAGCTCATCGAGGTCAGTCATGAGGTTCAGCGATTACAGGACGCGGACTCGCGATCAGTGCGTCGGATCATGGATGCGAAGCGATTGTCGGATCAACCGTTGTTTCAGGTCCCTGCGAAGCCCTGGACTAGCGTCGTCTCAGACAACGATTTTGTTTCGCACCTCGTCTCGCTGTGGTTGACTTGGTCCCACCCCTTCTCCAATTGGGTTGATCGTGGCCAATTCGTTCACGATATGCAAGCGGGGTTGCTGGGAGCCAAATACTGTTCGCCGTTTTTGGTCAATGCCATTCTAGCATATGCATGTGTACGTCGTCCCTCGTCTGTGTCTGAGGTCATGTTTTCTCTATTAACGATCGTAGACATACTCCGATTATCCCGAAGCGTATGCTGTTCCCGGGGATGTGTCGTCAAAAGGTGCTCACTTTTATAATGAGGCGAAGCGATTGCTGGACAAGGAGGAAGGGAGGATCAGCCTTCCCACCGTCCAAGGTATCGGTGTGCTATGGGCACGGTAGGTGTTTCGCTACACACTCTTACAGAGTGATAGACTAAGAACAAACAGTGCCTGTATGATTGGCCAAGACCGCCAGGCATGGATCTATCGAAGTCAACTGGCCTATTCGGCCAACGAACTGGCGCAAAAACACGCAGTGCTTACATCGACGGTCAACGAAGACGAGCTGCGTATGGCCCGGGTAGTTAATAACACCAACTGGGGTTTATTCAACAGCGCCACGTAGGAACCCGGACTACTACAACAGAGAAGAGCGACAACTGATCTCAGCCAGGACTCACTCCTTGTTATACGAGAAGACACCGACAATAAAGCCGCCGCAACAACCATCGTTCCTGCCGGTGAATCATGGATCGAATCAGGACGAGTGGAATCCATATCCAATACCGGCGGACGGAACGCCGTCGCACACGAAATGTCTATTTAACGAGCTCTGTACGTTGAATCTAATCGCGTATGAGGTCGCAGACTTTTACTTTCGTAAAGAGGCGCCTCGTTCCCGTCCAGACATGGAACGAAAGACCTCCGAATTCCATCAACGTCTCACGGAATGGGTGAATCGACTACCACAATGCCTGAAGACAGAGAAGGACACCGAACTTCCGCACATCCTATGCCTGCAGTGAGTTATCTAGCGCCCGGGATCAAGCCGAGGTACACCTAACCGATGTAGCATGTATTACCACGCCATCCTCATCACCATCTACAACCCTCACAGGCTGTCTCGCGAAACGCTTATGCCATATACGAACCACGACACAATCGACCCAGCACAAGCCCTCACCATCTGTTTATCCTCCGCCCGTAGCCTCGCCCACTGGATGCAAATGTACCGAACCACGTGGGGCCTCGAACACATCCCCATCTTCCATATTCAATGGATCCAAGCGGCACTGTTCATTCTCTTGGAAAACCTACAGAAGGAGGTCAACTGCGAAGCGTTCATTATTCTCAGCATTGCCGCGAAGGCATTCTCGCGACGGTTCGAAAAAGCCAAGCGCCTTCTCCGGTCGCTCCAGGATACGGCTCAAGAGATGAGAATCAATCTGCCGGTTGAGGCAGCTCCGTTGTTTGTCGAAATAGACAGTCAATGGCTCATGGGTCCGGTAAGGATTAAGGAAGAGACGAGCGATACAGCAAGCGGTGACGTATGATTATGATCGGGTATTTCAAGTACACAGTGTTTCGGGACGATACTCGTCGCAATAGATACAGATCCTATAATGATATATACTATTTTACGTTTAATATCTACCTAACATAGCACGAGAGTATAACTCACATACCCTACATAAATATGATGATAATAGCGAGAGAAGTAATCAGCGCAACTTTGGTTTGCGGTGGCAAGATGGCCGTGTGGTTAAGGCAACCACCTGATCTGTAGTCAGTATGTATCAGAAACACTGGAAATAAACAGCTACAGCTTTAATAAGTATACATACCTGCTATCGAATCCGGGTCGACTCTATCTTGCCAACATCTTTTTTTTTTCTTCAATTTCTTTTCCCCTTCTCCTTACAGCAAGCATGCTACCCAACAACGCCAATGATAGCTTCGTCTTTGTTATGTAAATTGAGCTCATTCTCGAAACAAAAAACAAAAAAAAAAAATACATAACTCCGTGGTATATAACACTAGTAACAAACACTCCGGGCAATTTAGTAGAATATATACCCAACACCCAACACAATACCCAATATCCAAAAAAAGAAAAACCCAATCAAATCAACTCAAACCTTCTCACTAGCATCCCCTACTGGACGTCTTCTACGGGGGAAGAAGCCCCCAAACTTCGCCCGATAATGCCACAACGCCCAGACGCCAAAGGTCGCCAGCGTCAGCGGAATGGTCACAACCCAGTACAGCCAGAACTTGTGGGACATTTCCCACGACTCCTTTGTGCCGGATTGGTAGTCGAAGAAGTTGGAGCCGAAGATGCCCTAGGTTTGTTTGTTAGGTTGGTTCGGTTATATTCATTTGTGGGAATATGGTAAGAGGATGGTGGAACGTACGGAAACGAATGTCCCCGGTAGATAAATCATACCCACGAAGCTGATGGTTTTCATTACCATGCTGTCGTAGCGGGTGTGGCGGCTCATTTGGTGGGAGACGAGGGTGTTGGCCTGCGGTCTTGTTAGGGTTTTTGAAGCATTGTAAGGGGTTTTATGCTATCGTATGCTAGATTGAATAGACAAATAAAAGAAAGAGGAGACAGAGAGAGAGAGTGTGTGTGATAAGAGTGATAACATACGAGTTGAATCTCGCTCGCCAACCGATCAGACAGAGTCCTAGACCTAACCCTAGCGGAATGGATTTCTTTCGCGACGAAGGCCAATTTCTGCCTCGTCTGGAAAAAGGTGCCGCGGACGGCATTGTTCTCCCCCATCACATACTCGGGGAACTCATCTCTCCAGCGTGAATGCTCCGTAAGCAGCCTGTTCATGGTATGCTCGGCGACCTCCATAGTCTCATTCAGATGCACGGCATGGCGGGCGCTATCGTTGAGGCCCTTCAGGAACTTGGGCAGGTTCTCGCTGTCTGCATTTCGGATCTGACTCTCCCAGGTTAGCAATAAACAAGGTGGGAGGAGTGGAGGACGGAAACGCACCTTCTCTATTTCCCTGATGACATGCCGCTGCTTCCAAAACGAGTCGTGGTATAGACTCGACATTGCGTGCGCAAATACCGCGTGCCAGATATACGGGTTCCGATCTCTCATGTCGCGGGCAGGAAAGGTTTGTTCGAGCTGCTTGCGTTCCGCGTCGGGGACACCAACGAAGAAGATTCTTTGCTGATTAGCTTGCAGATCCCAGTTGATGAAGACGGAAGCCTGGATCCAGGCGTATTTGCCCGGTTCTTCGACCATCTTGATCTTGAACAGGGACCATGAGACTAGCGTCAATTGTTAATTATCTTGCATCCGCGATCTTGTAGTTACAAGACAGGACTCACTGTGGTGGGTGATTGCGCTCCCGGTAAAGCCATACTCGGTGTGGAACGAGGAGTTCAGGTCCGCGGCGAACGTGTTCCGGTAATCAGTGGGCAGGCTGAGATGGGCGCCGTATTCCTCCAGCGATTTATTTTGGGCGAAGCTATAATGTAGAATAGCATTAGTCTATGGTACCGATGAGTAGCTTGGTCTTGTAAGAATACATACATCACTTGGGTGGACGATCGTTGAGGTGACTGTGGTCGGTTAGCGGTTCCATGTCTATATTGAACGGAGGAAGGTATACGGACACTCAAAAATGCCTCCAAGTCGACTGTCTCTTGCGGTCGCAATAGACCGGTGTCTGACACCAGTCAGTACTTTGGCAAAAGAGGGGAAAAGTAAGGTCAGGTAGGGGTTTAGGCCATACTATCATCTGCGAAGAGGGTTACTTCGGGCGGTTGCGGCGTGTCTACGGAGCTGAGCTCCATGGCGAGAACTACTCTGATAGTACGCCCAGAGCTTACCAACACAAAGAGGGGAAAGAATGGGGCCCAAGCCGTGACAAATGGGGCTTGTTATATGGGCGGAGGAGCGCAGCCTAACGCATGCATAGCCGCTGGCGCTAAGAGGCTGTCATTTACTAGTCGTCCGATGGACAAGTCACAGCGAGGCTGAACGAGGTAAAACAATTTATTCTGGACCAATCAAACACGCGCGTGGAATAAAACAAATACCGAGGAAAAGAAGAACAGGACGTCACACTGCATATACTCACGGCATCTCCTCTGCCAACCAGTTCTGAAACCATTTAAAATCCGCCGGGCACAGGAATCCCAGTCCCACCATAGCCACGGCACTGCCCAGCCAGTTCGCTCCGTTGAACAAGCCCTCTGCATCGTCGGCGAAAGGGTTCTCGACGCCATCTACATGGCTTGACTCAGGACCTGTCGGGACCGATCGTCTCATTTGTGTCTTCGAGATACGAGAGAATCCGATCACGGGCGGCCCGGAAAAAGAGTAATGTATTTCTCGAGGAGAAATGATACGGGATCATGAACTGCAATATTTGTTCGCACTTACGCCAAGCTTCGTGGACGGCAGTTTTCTCGATGTTGGACAGGGCGGGCACGCAGGTGTAGGACATGACGAGGACCATACCCGCAACCGACGTGTCTGTTGGTCAGCCTCGTCCGACACTTCTCGAATCGGGTGGGACTTACAGAAACAATTGTACCACCAGGTGTTGGTAGTGGTGGTTTGGTAGTTGTCATGGACCAGGGAGACCAACTCGATCGCTGCTTTTGCGCAGGCGGCTGCACGCTTGGACAACGTCGATGAATAGAGCGTCCGAAGGGCCGGGTCATGGTGGTCGGTCTCGGAATCCTCTTGAGCCAGCATCTCAGAGCAGAGATGGGTAAAGGCGGCACGGTAGAGTCGGATCTGCACGTAAAGGAATCTAGAACAATTATTAGCGTGGTCAGTGATGAGGATTGCATCGGGGGTCGCACCTGGCATGTAAAACATTTCTCTGGAGCCTCAAAGTTGACAATTGAGTTACGTCAGTTGCTGGGTTAAAAGGATGATCCCATCTCAGGACCGCGGGAAGATCGCCTTTGTATTGGGCTAGCTTTTCTTCCAGTTTAACCACGACATCTACTCCGTCCTGTTGTGTAGTTGTTGAGCTAGCCGGGGTGCGCGATCGGTCGCACCGTGCTTTGTGCACAGCCGACAAGACCGTGTCTAGAATGCTACCCAGCTCTAGACTAGCGGGGTAGAAGGCTGTCAAATACGGGTTGTTGGTGCCTGTAGGCGCGAGGCCGACTCCTGTTGGCAGTGGGATTACAGGCAAGGAAGACGTTGTACTAAGCCTCCCACAAGCCATGCTCGCGATCCTGTACCCGTTAGCTTTCGCCCGGACCGGTACAATAGGTCAATAAACTTACGTATCCATCATGACACACCCATGCCATGTGCGACGCTGAATTTCCAATTCCAGAGGGTCCTTGAAGCTGTCTGGTCGATTTTCGTGAAGCCCAAGCCCCTGCGAAATTCTACACGCCATACCTACCAAGTCCCAAGACTTATGGCAATCAGGTATGCTTTGAAGATACAATGAAGCCATCAAGAGGGTCTGGACAGCGCCAATAGTGCGGACCTCGAGCAGATCCAGGCCAATATTCTGTTTGGCCCGAAGGAAGAAGGTATGCGCTATGCCATTCCGATCTGGAACCGAGATCTCGGCAAAGTGACACCCGAGTGCGAACATAATGTTCAGTGCACAGATAAAGACTGGTGACTGGCGACCGGAGTCAGACTTGCCGCCCAGGCCGATGTTGAGTTCACTCGACTTTTGGCCTTCCGTGTTGGCGGATGTCCAGAGACCCTCGTAGGCATCTTGGACACTGGATCGGTCAAAGAAAGGATAAAGGCAGTAAACCCGATCCCAGAAGCAACCCAACAGATGGTCGGCAAAATCCCGTGGCGGTAGAAGGGAACCATCTAAATGAGCATGAGCAGGACCATGGGGGATGTCTCTCAGCAGATGGCCTTGGGTCAAAAGGCGTACGAGACACGCACTTGGTGGGCTTCCCAGAAACGTATTCGGTTGCTTTGAAAATCCTTCATTACTGCCACAGAGATTACTGGCTATCAGTAAGTTGAAATCACCCTCCTGCGGGTTTGTTAGAAGGGAAGGGAAGGTTTCCGGCTTTATGGGAGGTGGAAAGGCGCGAGTATTTCCCTGATTTGGGAAAGCTGGCGGAGTATCAAATTGAATTCCCAAGCCAATTTGAGGTGTCTCCTCGTCTGAGTCCATGGATGGAGCATCTGGATTAAACGTTGGCACTGGTATTCCAGCTTCGTGGCAAACCTCTTCCAGTTCGCGAATATGACGATGAAGGACTTCAAGGTATCTGTCTGTCTGTGAGCAAAGTCCACGTCAACCCTGCGAAGGAAACATACTCCTGAGTGTCCAATATCCTGACAATGTTGCGTCTATACAGACATCGGTTAGCCGCATGCGACCGTTGAGTGCAAGGCCCGCAGATGGGTTTCCTCCCGTCGCACCGAGACTGGCGTTCGCGACATGGTTCACAGCACGGTGACGATTTTCGTCGGCGCGTCGCATTACTTTTGTGTATGGCAGATCTTCGAGACTGCATACTGACAAGCTGCTATGCTGAAGCAAGGTCGCAGAAAACAAAAAGCAGAGCAGGACCAGACGTGGTGAATTGAGCTTAGGAAGCAAAGGGTGTTCGGAGGCTGTGTCCTCGTAGTTATCAACAATCAAGAATAAGATTGAACCTGTTCTGTTGTAGTATTTGATGTGGACCATGGCCAGATATTTATACCTTCAAATACCTCAAGAGAGGTTTTGATTTAATTCTGGGGGAGTCACCGACTCCCCACTTGGGCCCAAGGTCCAACACATCTGACCAACATGTTAGAGACTTTTTTCAAGGGACAAGGGCTAGATAGTCTTTGTGATAGGAGCATTCTGCTCGAGCAATACAATCCTGCATGTGCATCGCTTCCCACGGGACAGTGATGCATATATCTGGCGCCCTCCGCACTGGCGTCGTTAAACCGCGTACTAAGATAGGACGATCCGCCACCATCATGCAAAGGGATCACTTACGGTTGGGACTAGTACTCTAAACGGGGTCCTACCTAAGCTTCCAGTAGAAACTAGTGCCTTTTTACAAAAGGCGGGGAGGAGATAATCCACCAGCGTCGAGAACACTGCATATAAGCGCCAGATTTCAGCACAGCGCTTAAGTTGCGTGGCGGCCATATCACCCGCCTTATCACAAACAAGGATGATCCGATGTTAGTGCCAGACTAGTAACCAACAGAATGACGCCTGTGATTCATAATTTCTTGTCATTTGTTTAGCCCCTCCTATGAAAGCCCACTTACGATGTTGGCCAGCACGGACACGCGGTGGGAAGACTTCCTGACTGGGGGACTCGTGCGCTACTTCTGGGCTCTCCGCTATTTATCTCTGACCGACATCTGTACGTCGGTTGCATGACAAGTTGACAACATGCATAAGTGGGGGCCTTGAGAGGGGCTCATCCCATGTATTCAGGGTATGTTTCCGTGTCAACATAGCCGTAATAACCGCTTTCCCATGATAACCACCAACAAGACCTGATGTGGTTGCCTGATGTCACGATAGTTCGGGGACGGTGGGAGTCACCACACGAAGCGTAACGCTGGACGTTAGCCTCCGCGAGTAGCCCGCATACCACCGAACCAGTTTTGGGGTTACCTCAAGTCCTGTTGATTGGAAAAACAGGCAAGAAGTTTCCTGCAGGTGAAATCACCAGTGGTTCGCTCTAGTCCGGATGTGGCACCGCGACCATGTGACCTTGTCCATGGCCTTACGCAAGCAAGATATCTCTCGTAGGATCGCAGCGATGTTATCCGTTTTCTTTTTAATAACCAGGGCTGAATCTTGGGCCCAAGGTCTGAGGTTATGCCAGGTTAAAGGCAATGGCCATCTAATGGCAAGTTTTCCGACCGATGGTACTGGTCCCTGGATGGTGGCAAATCGAGCGAGTGGTGACCGCGGAAGCAACCAAACAGTGGACATGCTGTGACAAAGCATCGACAAGATGATGAACGATCGAAGACATTCTTGGTTATTCGAGACGTAAGAATCCACAGTACGTACTCAAATAGGCAATACCCTTTCCCAGAATGGATAGTGGCTAAGAGCTCTAGGCCATACGTTTCCTTCGCGGGCCCGGCTCTACAACTAATGAAGGATATGTTCAACTTGGAAAGCAACAATGATGGGGAATATTTACTGGTCAAAGTATAAGTACATCGGCCAGCTCGTGTTGATATTTTGAGATGTCTGTCTTCATCTTGTCAGAGCCTACACGAGGTGCTACAGAGCAAAGATGCAAACAATCAAGAGCTCTAGCGCAACCCGCATTGACGTTGGGGACGCCTCTCTCAACTATAAACTTATTGGGACTGGACCGTTGCTTATTCCAATGCCTGGAGCAAATGGGACCGCAATGTTGTATGAGCCGTTAGCCACTGCGCTCTCATCACACTATACTGTCGCTCTGTATGACCGCCGAGGATTCGGAAACAGCCTCTTCGTCACGCCGGGTGAACCGGATCCGACGACCCACCTGAGAGCACAAGCCGACGATGTGGCCAAGTTAATCCAATATTTATCCCCAGGGAAGCCTGCGACAGTCTTCGCGGCTTCCGCCAGTGGGGTGATGGCCCTTGAGCTCCTGCAGTCTCGTCCCGACCTTGTACAGCATCTAATACTACACGAGCCACTGCTTCTTGACCATCTTCCCACGTCATTCAAAACGTATATCAAAACAGGATTGTTTAATGTGATTTTAAAGTATGGGGCGCGCGGACAGACAATTCGGCGCGTGTTGCTGGCTTATGTACAAGGCAAGCGTGACCAGCGGAGGCTGGGCCAGGATCCACATTATGTACGATCGATGTCTCAGCCAGAAAACGATACGGCGTTTTTCTTCGGGTTTGAGTTACAACTAGTCCTCGACTATCATTTCGACCTCGAAAATCTTCGGCCGTATCAGGACAAATTAGTTTGTATGAAAGGGTTAGATATCTCGCCGGAGCTCGCAAGTTTCCCGGTGATTACTCTCTCTGACACCCTTGGGACTTCTCTGGAGTTCACCCCTGGGGGGCACAACGGGTTCATTACTGATGCGGAGGAGTTTGCGAAGAAATTGATCTCGACCCTCGACCAGGAAACGGCGAAGCTATGACGCTCCGCACCTCGTTTAGACATATTTAACTCCGTGGCCTAGATGTGATTGTTGGGAGAGATTTGTCATCAAATAAAAGAACATTCTGTACCATACATACCTTTAATCTCTATCCTGTGCCATTTGTCTTAACCGAAATCTGCTTGACAATACTAACTAGGGAGGCATTGGAAAGACAGCGAGTGAACGCAAGAGTATCCTGCCCTAAACAGGCGAGCTTATTCATTAAGAAGCGGGATAATTTCGACCAACAGGAACTTTCATGCTTCGGACTGCCTATTTTCTTGGACATGCTATTTAGGGTTAAGGGTGAATAAGTCGGTCGTGAACTTCTCCCAGATTGATTCTAGAGTCCTTCCCTTCTCCGTGTTATCACCACACGGCTGATAAGATTAGTTCTCCCAACGTTGCAGCGAGAATACCCACTTTGTGAGCTACCGGAAGCCCGGTCGAATTCTGTACCCAATTGCAGACTCCCCTCAACGGCTGTTACGGTTCAGACGGGGAACAGAAATATCTGCACTGCTTTTGCTGGCAATCGGAAGCTACCGAAGATTGGCATCCGCGATGCGGGGAAACGGAAGTCAATGAGGTACCGAGGCAAGGATAAGGATGGATGTTGCTCCTTATCAGCTTCGTGAGCTGAAAGCCTGAACCAGTGCGATACTTTGGGTACGTCGATCAGCTCAGCCGCAGAAGGCCCGCATGGACCTGCCCCATCGCGTAGGAACACCGCCAATAATGTGCAGCTTTGCCTGCAGAAACCCCATCGGTCGATATCAATTATGTCAATTATTTGCAACGCTAGCCTGTAAACAAAATTCTCCGAATGTGCGGCTGGACTTGTCCGGGCGCCGGAATGGGCAGGTGGGTAAACTGGAAGCAATATTTATAGAGGCGATCCTATCCTGCACGGTCTGACGATTGCTGTGGACAAAGAGCCTGTTCATTTTTGATTGTTCATGATGTTTCTGGGACGCCTTTCATTAATTGCCTTAGGAGCCTGGGCGGTCCGCCCAGTGGTGGGCTATGTGTCGCAACCTAGGGATCAGGAAGGAACCTGTAAGAAGACGACAGTTGCGATTTTGTATGTGTCTACCCATCCGGCTATCGGTGATGATCTTCGAGCTTATACTGACGATGCGCAGAGGGGCGGGAATATCAGGTATTTCGGCTGCGGTATGCATTCCGAATTTCTGACCGCGGAATGAATAACACCGCTGACCCTTCGTAGCAAACGTTGTCGAAAGCGTCCGTGGATGATTTTCTTATCCTGGAATATCGCGATCGAATTGGTGGTCGTGCTTGGCATGAGAACTTTGGCCAGGACAAAGATGGAAATCCTTACGTGGTCGAAATGGGTGCCAACTGGGTGCGGATAGCTCATCCCTTCCATCGGACGTATTCGACTGACATTTTGTCGATTAGGTTCAAGGACTCGGAAATCCAGGAGGTCCGGAAAATCCGATCTGGACCCTAGCCAAGGAATTTGGCCTGCAGACGGCATACTCGAACTACAGCAATGTCTCGACGTATAATCAGGATGGCTACAAGGACTACTCGCATCTTTTGGATGAGTTTGACGAAGCCTATGATATTGCAAACCCGGCGGCTGGCAGGATCCTTCTTGAAAACCTCCAGGACCAGACGGCGAAGGCCGGATTGGCCTTGGCTGGATGGAACCCGAAGTCGCATGACATGGAGGCGCAGGCAGTCGACTGGTGGAGTTGGGGTGAGTTTCGTATTCCCAGTAGCATCGGTGCATATGCTGAGTATAAATAGATTTCGAGGCGGCTTTCACGCCACTAGAAAGCTCGTTGGTATTTGGTATCGCCAGCACCAATTTAACCTCGAATCAGTTCAGCGACCACGACAACTTCGTCACCGACCAGCGGGGATTTAACACGATCATCAAGGGCATGGCCTCAAAGTTCCTGACTGAAGATGACCCTCGCTTGCTTCTGAATACAATCGTTACGAATATCACGTACGGGCCCGAAGGCGTTACGGTCTACAGTAGCGATGGGAACTGTGTCCAAGCTGCATACGCCCTCTGCACATTCTCCTTGGGCGTCCTGCAGAACGATGCCGTCACTTTCACCCCGGAGCTGCCTGAGTGGAAGAGGACCGCAATCCAGATGTTCACCATGGGCACCTATACGAAGATTTTCATGCAGTTCAATGAGACCTTCTGGCCTACGGACACCCAGTACTTCCTGTACGCGGACCCCACTACGCGCGGCTACTACCCACTCTTCCAGTCCCTATCCATGGACGGTTTCCACCCAGAATCCAACATTATCTTCGTGACCGTTACGAACGAGTTTGCCTGGCGCGCGGAACGCCAGTCTGACGAGCAGACCAAGCAGGAAATTCTCGAGGTCCTGCGTAAAATGTTCCCGGATGTGGAGGTTCCTGAACCGACGGCCTTCCTGTATCCTCGCTGGAGCACGGAGCCGTGGTCCTATGGTAGCTATTCCAATTGGCCCATGGGCACGAGCCTGGAAATGCATGAGAATCTGCGGGCCAACACCGACCGACTCTGGTTCTCAGGTGAAGCTACCAGCCCGTCCTACTTTGGTTTCTTGCACGGGGCGTGGTTCGAAGGTCGCGATGCAGGCCGACGGATTGCTGGATTGCTGAATGGATGCAAGGAAGGCAACTCGACGACTTGTGTCCCCCGGAAGCACTATGAGGTGCTTCATGGTACCACGCCACTGGCTGATTATAGCTCCGTGAACGGGTGGGAGGTGAGTAGCTTTTATGATAGTAATGATGACTAGCTGCATGCATGTACATACATACGTGGCATTGAAGTAAGATACTGCTGAAAAGCCACAATATGATCAGCCAATTCTGAGGTTTTCCATCTCTTTGAGCGTTTCCATAAGCGTGCTATGAAATGAATTAGACGCAAATAGACAGACATGCCTGAGGCTGCCGTGTGCCTTGGCTTTATGAAGTCACGACACTGTGCTCTAACTTCGAACCAGACCGTGTCTCAGCAGCAAATCCTGCCACAATCCCAAATTACTTGAAAATTAACTCCACCACGTTCTCTCAAACAGGCTGATCAGCAGGTTATAGTTTCTTTCCAACTGGCAAACTAGATAAAATCGCGTGCCAGACCTGTCCATTTTATCCCAATTTACTTTTACAGACGCCCCACCCTTCTGTTCTCTAGAAAGGTTCATATCTCTATTACTCGGCACCAGTATACACGATGCCTCACCGAAATTCAGTAGATAGGGTGGACAGTCATGACATGAACCAGGTCACGAATGTTTTTCAAAAGCTGTCTGAACGCGTCGGATACCACAGCCTCTCTCCTGAAACTGTAAAAATTGCCAACTATCCGAGTGAAGAATGGCTCTCGGAGACTGAGAGACACATCCCGTCGAGCCATGGCAGGCCATTGGAAGATGTACTCCGCGACGCCGACGAGATCTTCTCATATCGAATCAGCACAATGCATCCTCAATTCTTTGCTTTCATTCCGTCACCAGTCTCCCCCGTGTCCTGGCTGGGAGACTCTCTCACTGCCGCATACAATACCTATGCGGGAAGCTTAGAGTCAGGCTCCGGCGTCTGCGCCGTGGAAAGATCCATGATTGCCTGGATTGCTGAACGGTTCGGCTTACCTCGGTCTGCAGGTGGCCAGTTTGTGTCTGGGGCATCGATGGCGACTCTGACCGCAGTGACCGTTGCTAGAGACCAGCGCTTGAAGGTTGAGCTGCGACACAAGGCGACCGTGTATATGTCGGAAGACGCACACTTCTGTATCACCAAGGCACTTCGCATCGTCGGCTTGCAGGATTCCCAAGTCCAGACTATCTGCTGCGATTCGAAATACCGTATGGACACTGACCGTCTTCGTCGAGCGATATCCGAAGATATTTCCGACGGTCGTAAGCCATTCCTTGTAGTTGCCACGTGTGGGACAACGAGCACTGGCGCCATTGATCCTCTGAACGAAATTGCGGACATAGCGGACGAATATGGATTATGGATGCACGTCGACGCCGCCTACGGCGGATCTGCCGCATTCTCCAGCACCCATCGCTCCCTGGTGAGCGGACTTGGCCGCGCAGACAGCATCGCCTGGGACCCCCACAAATGGCTCTTTCAAACGTACGGCTGTGGCACGATCCTCTTCCGCGAGAAATCCCACCCCCTGGGGAGTTTTGCATCCACGGCCCATTTCTGCCGCGACGTCGAGGATGAAAAGGACCCCCAGAATCCCTGGAATTATGGAATCGAGCTGACGAGGCCCGCGCGCCATATGCGCCTTTGGTTTAGTCTGCAGGTGCTTGGCATGGACACGATTGACCAGATGATCGGGCGAGGCTTTGAGTTGTCGGCACTTGTTGAAGGCGAGATAAAAAAGCTGTCAGATTGGGTTCTGTTGGCCCCCACATCCTTAGCCATCGTGAACTTTCGCTTTGCCCCACACGGCGTGGACGAGAGGCTTCTCGATCAGATTAATACTCGCGTGGCGAAAGACTTGATTGCCGACAATATCGCGTACATCCTCACCACTCGTCTTGGGGGTGTGGTTGGTCTCCGGATGTGTACCATCAATCCGCGAACCACTGACGACGATATCCGTCGCGTGGTGAGAGCACTGGATTGCAGCGCTCAGGCTGCCTACGGGGAACTGGACCGGGACCGGATGTGAGAAATTACACCTATCAAGGTAAGAGGACGATCTCGGCGGAGTACCCTGTCATGGATTATGAATCATGATTATCCTGCTGGGCTAGCACGCTTAGGGCCTAGCTCGTCATGAGACAGTCTCTCTCAAGCCAAGTTTGATTCCATACAATGGCCAAGCTTCCTTAGTGAGGTGGGGCTGATAATCCACCTTCCATATAGCATGGTCCAAGGTGTCGAATGGGCCACGTCGCATAGCCTGGCCGGTGGACCAATAGATAAGAAATGGCTACTCTGTCTCACAATGTCCCCGCCACAGGGACTCTTAAAAAGGCCGTGCCAATCCGACCAGCATGAGTGTTTCCGAGCCTAACCCGAGAGACACGCGAAGGTCGTTTGACTGCCCAGCATGAAGATCGCGATCGCAGGCGCCGGAGACGTCGGTACCTACTTCGTCCAAGAATTCAGCAGATCTGGCCATGAAGTCGTCCTTCTAACGAGCAAACACAAACCCGCCTTAGAGACCCTACCCATCAGACAACAGATCACCGATTACAGCGTCGAGGATCTCACACTGCACCTCCAAGACTGCGACGCCGTGGTATCCACCTTCTCCGGCCCCGAGGACCAATATATCGCCGCCCATCTCGCACTTCTCGAAGCATGCATCCGGTCCCCAAAATGCAAGCGCTTCCTGCCCTCGTCTTGGACCACCAATATCGAAGACTTCGGAGACCAACCGATCATGCTCGCACACTCCCGAGACACAATCTGGAAGGCCCTCCGCGCACAGCACGAGGTGAAATGGACCATGGTTTGCAACGGGTGGTTCATGGACTACGTTCTGCCCGCCTCGCAGCGGTATTTACGTGACGTCGGCGTGGGATGGGTGATGGATCACCACAATAAAGTGTTTGAGCTGTACGCGGATGGGCAGCAGAAGGTTACGCTAACGTCTGTCCGGGATGTTGCTCGCGCGGCATTGTCGATATTGGAGCATGGCGAGATCGAGTGGAACGAGTTTACTCACTTTGGGGGGCAAACCTTCACCTATCTTGAGTTGTATCAGTTGATCAAGAGGCGGGATCCAGCATGGAAACTGAAGAAGCTGCCGTTTTCTGAGGTGATCGAAAGGATTACGTCGGGGAAGGTGGTCGGGGAAGATCTCGACCTGGAGTACTTTAGACTGATGGGCTTTACCAATTGCAACAAGGTGCCGGAGGATAGGGCTTTGACGTGGGGGACGGGCTTGTTGGAGGGTTTGCGGGCGCGCGGTGTTGAGGAATTGCTGGATGAGGCGGCTAAAGATGAGACGGTTGTTCTTTAGCGGTGTGAGGTGGTACAGTATAACTATATGATATAGTGGTCTAAGCAAGTGTGTGGACTAAGCCGACTGGGCCAGTAAAGGTAGACAAACCAATTTATGATTCGGTAGGAATAGACTTCCATCATTCCCGGCGGGTTCCAGAGGGCCTGGGAAGATGTATGTATGTGCATTCTCTAGTTTAGGGTTTATATAGAATCTCACTTGCACTGACAGAAGGTTTTGTGGATCTCCAAATCATGCGTTCATTGTCAATCTACAGCTTCCCATCTAATCTGGCTAAGAGACCATGAGCTAGACTATGAATTAAAGCATCGTTCTCCTCTCTGTTTACTATGATGGCCATAGATCCATACCATACCTTCTTCAACCATCTGTGTCAGACCAATCAATCCCACAGCCCCTTCAAAAAGCTTTCTCGGGATGATACAAACGACTCATATACATATCTACAAAAATAACATCGAATCCAAACAAGTCATATTCAAAGCATCGTGATGGCATTCGTTAAGACAGCCAATCCAGTTGATCCCATCACACACACACACAAACAACCCAGAAAACAACAGACATCTATCCAACACCAATCCAACCGAAAGCCCACTCACCTCCCCACAAACCGAATCTCCAAAGTCCTCAAAACCGGATAAAAAAACCCCACCGAAGCAAAAACCAGATAATCGCCCACATCGCCACCATGTGTCCCGATCCTCCTCGCCACGGGCGACACATACTGTCCCAAAAAAAAAAACTCCCATTAGCCAAATCCCCACCCAAACAATCAAAGACAGAGAGAAAGCAGAAAGAAAGAACATACCCAAGTCTGCGCCATGCCCAGAAACGAAAACCCGATTCCAATCAACAAAGCCGCTGTTCCGGCCAGCCCAACCGGCATGCGGGTCGGATCCTGCCACGCGCTGAGATCGTAGCCGCCGAGCCGCGGCCGGAACCAGAAGTGCTCGATTGCGAGGATGAGCCCGAGGCGAGGGTCCAGTAGCCGAGGATGGCGAGGAAGTTGTCGATGATGGCTTCGAGCTTGTTGCGGCCGCCCCAGGCGAGGGCGAGCACGACGGCTGATGTTAGGGCGCACCAGATGAAGCGCGGGATGGCGAGGAAGTGCTTGCCCCAAAGTTGGATGCATAGGGCGCTGGAGTAGATGTTGGCTATGACGTTTGCGACTGTGCGGTCTTGTTAGTTTTGTTTAACTTTTTCTGTCTTGTGTTTTTGGGTTTTGGTTTTTCTTTTTGGGTGTCTGACGGGGTATTGGGTAGGTTGCTTACGGAAGGTGAGGGCGAATATAGTACAGGCGAATTTGGCCCAGCCTGCTGGTCGGAGGGTGGCGAGGATTAGGGCGCCGGTTCCCTTTGTGTTGTAGATTGTGGACATTTCGTCGTTGGACATGATGATGCCACCGAAGTGGTTGCCCAGCGTGCCGACGAAGATGGTTGGGAGGACCTGGCCGAAGTAGGTGAGGCAGAAGACGAGCCATTTGCTTGTGTCGGCTGGGTAGTGGATGTAGTAATCGCCTGCGATGGGACACCACGAGCAGGCGACGCCGAAGACGACGGCGAAATAGCTCAGACAGGCACCGCTGTAGTCGATGCCGCTGAGTGTGCTCAGCCCGGGGGTGGGAGAGAAGTACCTGGCGGACTGTCCCCATGTCACGCAGATGAGTACCAGGGCAACGATCCAGGCGTATCGTTCGTAGTGGTGGATGAGAGTGAAGCCGCAAAAGGATACGAGGAAGCCAATCGCGACGATAATGACAATACCCGCTGCGAGTGGGATCGAATCGCCGGACACGGCGACAAGGAGCTGGCCTCCAACCACCGCGGCAATCACCGCGTATCCGCCATTGACAATGATATTCAGCAGACCGCAAAGCTTCGCTCCCCAGATGCCGAATGCATAGCGGGCAACTGCCACCTGGCGCAGGCCACTGGGCGGACTCAGCGTTGCGGTAAACGCGGGGACAATGGTCCCGAGGAGAGCCGCGAAGATAGTCAGAATGACTGAGGTGTGCACTGAGAGGCCGAAGATAGGACCCAGTGAGCCGATAGGGATCAGCGTTGGGCTTATCAGGACGGAGAACCAAAAGAACATCATCTGAGCGGGGTCGGACGTATCAGTCGAGAGTCCCAATTTACACAAGAATGAGAGAATGGCCTTCATGCTCACCTCCAGACACTCTTACATACATTCAATTTCTGTGGTGGTCGTCGCTTATCCTCTGGTACTCGTTCGACTCCCATGGCCTCCACGCCCAATTTGCGGTCGATCCAGGTCTCGAAATTGCGCAGCGATCGCAGTAGGCCATTACCCTCTTGGAGATGTCTCATATGCTTCTCCCCTTCGTCCCCCGGGTCAACCACAGTCTTTGCACGCTCAGTGGGTGACTCGAGGGAGCCCTCGTGCGACTCGATACCCACATGCCAGAGGCTCTTCTGTTCGCGCTCCATCTCCATATCTGTGCTCTGGCCACGATGAGAGGGAAGGTGAGAGGAATGGAACAAGAAACGGACAACAGCGAAGGAGTGGTAGAACAGATAGAGCGGGGCATGGGGAGATTAACAAGCAAGAGGTCTTTTCTATCCGACAGCATGGGCACTCTTATCGGTCGGTCTCTGGTTCCGTTGGCGGGGATCTAAAAAACCCTCCGACTGAGACCTCAATCCTTGCTAGCGTCATTCCGGCGAATCCCTTGCATGATACTTGCATAGCATTCCCTGAGACAGTTCATGGTGAGACCAGTAATCTTATGTAGGGTGGTGCCCTATTTAGTTAAATAAGGGTGTCTCAGTGACACCGCACGAGGGCTCCAGAACATCTATAGCTCATTGTGGGACTCCCTCTCACATATTGCTGCCATACAGATAAGCCAAAGGTTTGACGATAGCGTCCCGATAGCGATATTGACCTGGACTAATTTCACATGAGACACGATGTGGATACTGTCCGGTGCGACATGGACTTTTGGCACGGCGATGACAGCGGGCGGTTTTGGCCCGCTGGTCCAGTTTCCTGCAGATCAATATATCGTCCAGTGGGCCCAGTCAGCTCAAGGAGCACTAAAACCGTTTTAAGGGAGTTAGGAAGTAAACTAGACAAGCCGAGACCGGGCTTAATTCCGTTGCACACAACCCTGTCTATAACCAACGCAAGACACTATAGCAAGAAAATCTTTTTCTCCTAGGATGGTGGTGGGTTCAAGACCTGCTGACACTATGCGCCCATATATAAGACAACATGGCCTTCCTTCACCCTTTGTCAGCAGAGAAGCTGTGCCGATGTGGCTGGATAGTTCAGCATGCACGACGACCGCCTGGTGGAATCATGGACCTGGTTTGCGGTCACCAGTGTCGTGGTTATCTGGCGATAGTAAGCGGCCCCTTTCGCACCATTGCTCGGTCTGACACCCGTCTCTAGTATCTCCAGGGGTATGCTCCTGGGTGGGTTCAAGGGCTTGATGGTGGAGGATTATATTATGCTGTTGACTTATGTATGGTCACTGTGGTTCATGGATCCTTTGCAAAGTAGATGCTGAAGATAGAGACAGGGCATCTACACCAACTTCATCGTCTGGGTTAACATTCAAGCACGATACCCCAAAACCAACATCTTGCCGCCCACAGGAATGCAAGGCCTTACCGAACAAGACATTCAGGATCGCATCTACGGAAGCAAAATCACCTTTGTTCTGGAACAGTCAATGGTGTTGCTGCAATGGGGGTGCAAAGCCTGTATGATCCTAGTGTACTACCGACTAACGTATGCGAAATTCTTCTGTGTTTTGCTTTCATGGGGGTTCTTCAACAAGCACATACTGATAATAATTATAGGAAAGGAACAAAGATGGCTCTTCCAGTCAAGATCGTGATGGTCTACATTGCCGTAAGCTTCGTAATAGTAGAAGTCTTCTACTACGGGGTCTGGTGTCGACCATTTTCCAATTACTTTGTCGTCAAAGCAGACAATGACCGTGAGCAAGGATGGATATCTCCAGAACAGATCGCATGCTGACATACTTCGAGCGCAATGCGAGAGCGCCCAGCATCATCTGATCATGTCATATGTCTTCAATCTCTCCTCGGACCTGGCCATGCTTTGCATCCCCATACCAGTATTCCTCAGCTTACAATTACTTTGGAGGAAGTATGTGAACAAAAAAGGTGATACTTCCAGTCACAAAGACAAGCTGACATTGGGACAGAAAGCTAGCTCTCCTGTGTGTGTTCAGTCTCGGAATCTTTGTCGTGGTCGCAGCGACACTGAGCCGATACTACTGCTTCACTCATCCGAATAGTATCTTGTGGATTTTCTGGTACGTGCGGGAGGCCAGCACCGCCATCATTGTGACGAACGCCCCTAATTGCTATACGCTCCTGCGCCGGCTTCTAAAAGTGCACGGGTTCACAATCTTCGGTACCTACATAGCACTTCGTCGGAAACCAACACATTCTCCAGAGAGCGGTCCGCCGAACGAGCTGGCGCAACTCTCGGTCGGCCGGTCAAGGAAGCACACCATATCGACGGAAAGCACGGAGCACATCACACGGGAAGACAAGAGTTTGGAAATTTGGCAGCACACGCAGGTGGCGGTGTACGAGGATTTCGAGGAGGAACCAGGAGCAGCTATGGAACGAGACCGGCGAGGAGTCTATGGGAATAGGACAGGGTTTGCTTCTTCGACAGTGACAACGGGGCATATTGGTTTATCCGGGCAAAGTTGACGGATTATAGAGGCAAATAACAATTATATTTCAGCTAAAGTGATAATGACACTAGTAATATCCTAGGCTCTAGTACATGAACCAGTGTCGAATGGTATCACATAGTAGGCTTGAGAGCCATTGCTTCCTGGCAAACCAGAGTAAGATGCATCAAGGAAAACAACATATAAGACTGATATGAGCCTGTGTAACGTTGGACTTGCTGCCTCCTGTGCCCGACATAAATATGCTCTTCTATTATCCCGCGGCTAACAGCAAGGAGAGACTACGCATTTTATCTGTACTACATTATTGAATTTAATATAGAACTTTGAGCTATACAGACGGGCTCTCCATTTTGAATAAATCCGTATCCTCGGCCAAACGCAAAAGCCCCTGACTAAACCTCAACTCTCGTCCCGTACCCAGACAGAACATGGCCTTCTTCCTTAATGTCAAGCTCTTCCCGTGTTGCCCGAGCTGGTCATTATGGCAGGCCGTTGCCCAGTACCCGGATTCACGTTGGAATACTCCTTATCGCTAGAAGTCAGCGCTGGCAGGCAGGCGCAGTCTACTACTTGAAGGAACACAACATATCACCGCATTCGTATTGGTACGCAGCTCATGTCATGTCGGACTGCAGTGTTCAAGTGACGTGACACCAAAGGTAGGAGGTGAGAGCTCTTTCGGTCGTAGCAATTCCATTAACCTCAAGAATACCTCCGCAGGGCTACTAAGCTATCAGCATGGAGCTTTGGTAAAGCATATAGCCAGTCTAACCGTTAGTCTAGACTTCGTTCTCAACCCTTCGTCCACAAAGAGCCCCATATAATATCCCAGTTAAATAACTCAGACGGATGGCGTAAGCAACCTTAACCCCCTATATAAAAGTATAATAAACCCCGGCCTAATATAGTATATAGATAAA